ATTTTGGTCATGTTGTAAGAAGGGACCATTCCCCGGAGAAGGATGTCATGCTTGGTAGGGTGGAGGGTCGACGAAAGAGGGGGAGGCCTTCAACGAGATAGATTGACATGGTGGCTGCGATGATGGGCTCAAGTATAGCAGGGATTGTGGGGCTGGCGCAGGATCGGGCTGTGTTTCGTTCTGCTGTGCACAGGGTCGCTATGAGTCGGAAACGACTCAACGGCACTTAACAACAACAATAACAACAACAACAACAACAGTAAATGCAGTAACATTTTTCTATAATAACAATGATTTATGAGTAGATACATAGGTAAATACGTATGCTAAATAGGTGAGGGAAGTTGTACGGTTATACACCTTCATACATGTATCGTATGGTTGTGGATACTTCTGCATAAACTCATCACCGTCCAGTTGATTCCAAGTCATAGCAACTCTACAGGCAGAGCAGAACAGCCCCATAGGGTTTGCAAGGTTATCAGTCTTTACAGAAGCAGACTGACATCTTTTTCCTGTGGAGTGGCCAGTGGGTTCAAAGATTTGACCTTTGGTTAGCAGCTAAGCACTTTAACCACTATGGCATCAGGGCTCCTCCTATTTCTACATACAAATTTGTAAATGCTGCATGTACACTCAAGTACATAATAGAGTACATAACAGGCAGCTACAGAAACTACTTACACATCAAGACTAAACGACTTGAAGGCTAAGGACTATAGTCTCAGAAACATCTAGGTCAACTAGCAAAAACACAATTCATAAAAATATTCTATAGCCTAGTCTGATGAATAGTATCTGGGTCTTAAAAGCTTGTGAGCAGCCATCCAAGAAGCAACTATTGATCTACTCCCACCTAGAGTAAAAGAGAATAAAGAAAACTGAAGATTCAAGGAAGTAATTACTCCAAAGGACTAATGGCCCACATGAACCAGAGTTCCCTCTAACCTAAGACCAGAAGAACTAAATGGTACCTGGCTACCATTGCCAACCATTCTGACCAAGGACCATGATAGTTAAGTCCCAGTTAGAATGTGTAAAAAATACAGACCAAAATTCAATTTTTAAAAAAAAGACCATACCTACTAGTCTGAAAAGGAGCTCTGGTAGCATAGTGCCTGAGGCACTTGACTGCTAACCAGAAGTCTGGTGGTTCAAACCCATCAGCCACTCCTCGGAAGGAAGGTTGGGTAATCTACTTCCACAGTGATACTGCCTCAGAAACCCAAGAAGGGGTCGCTATGAGTTCGGTCCGACTCCACAGCACATAACAACAACAACACTGGTCTGAAAGAGACTGAAGACCCCCAAGTCTACTGCCCTACGAAAACTTTCTAACTTAAAACTGAAGATGCTCCCAGAAGCCACCTTTCAGCCAATTAACAGAAAGGCCTATAAAATAAACAGTAACACCCAGGAAGAATGTGACCCTTAGAACAATCCACTATACAAGAATAAAAGGGCAAAATCTGTCTAAAACCAAAGATGAACAGGCAGGACGGAAGGAAGGGGAAAATCAGAAGAATGGAAATGGAGAACCCAGGGAGGAAAAGGGGAATGCTGACACTTTGCAAGCAATGTCATGGAACAATCTGCATTATAGATTATTGTTTAGAAAACTAATTATGTAAATATTCAAGTAAAGCACAATAAAATATTCAAAAAAAGAAAACAGTTAAGATCAGCCTCAAGGCATCTCACCTGACATGGTGGTGTGGGTCTTGGCACCACCAAGTTCCTCCTGGGTAACGTTCTCATTGGTGACAGACTTCACAACATCAGGGCCAGTGATGAACAGGTAGGAAGTGTCCTGAAATCACAGATTTCCACAACAGTCACTCTCAGAACATCTGAGCTGGATGGAGCTAGCTAGAGTTTCTACAGCCAGGGAGATACAGAGAAAGTAGTGATATGATGGCAGAACTACGCTAGGATGCAGCTCAAAGATGCCTGTCCAAATAAAGGCCAAGTTCTATGATGTCTTTCTATTTTTCTATTTAAAAAAAATCTTTGTTGCACGGCTCTATCTCAACAAACTTATTTGCAGTGTGGCTAACATTTCAATCATTCATCTGTAGAAAATAGTAACAGGTGGCCCTTATTCAGAGTTTGCTGTGCACCAAGCACAGGCAGAATTATCAACCCCCCCCCACCACCACCACCACTAACAGATGAGAAAACTAAGAACCAAAAAGGTATGGAACCTAAGATTAACCAGCTAATAAAAGGTGAAGCCACTTAAAGACACTAATAATTAGTACTTTAATATTATGAGAAGGCAATAGTGTGGTTTTTTTTTTCCTTCTTCTTTCCCTTTCTTTTATTGTGATGAAAACTATATACCAAATATTCACCAATGTCACTCCCACATTTACAGCTCAGGGACATTGATGATATTTTTCATGTTGTACCACCGTTACTGCTATCCTTTGCCAAAATATTCCACCACCATCAGCATAAGCTCAGTGCTCTGCAACCAAAAGCTTCCCCTTTCTCCCTCCCTCCTACTCCTGGCAGATACTAATCATCTTAGGGTTTTTTTTTTAAAAAAATACACACACACACCAGTTTAGACATTTCTCTATCCCTCCCCTCCCATCCCTGCTAATCAACAAAGAAAATTTCCTTCCATATATAAACCTTTCCTTGACTTCTTACAATAGTGGACTAATAGAATATTTGGAAGGTGACAGGTGCTTAATTTTTAGTTTCCAATTTAAAGATAACAAAAAGCCATTGCCAATGAGTTGATTCTAATTCATAGTGACACTGTATGACAGGATAGAACTGCTTCATAGACTTTCCAAAACTGTAATCTCTATGGAAATAGACTGCTACCTCTTTCTCCTGCAGCGTGGCTGGTGGTTTCAAACTGACCTTTCAGTTAGCAGTCAAGCACTTTAACCATTGCACCACCAAAATAAGAGTTTACAGTGCAGAGTAAGTCTACTTCTAAGCCTTATTCTCTGGGCCTCCAATTCCTCTCCCCAAAAGCAATCACTGGTGAATTTCTTCTTTCTCACGCCAGAGACATATGTGCATATATTGGCATTTACGTACATATTTGTCCTTATTTTCTAACACAAGTATTTTTTCCTACCTGTCTTAAAAAGAGCTCTGGTGGCACAATACCTAAGGCATTTGACTGCTATCCAAAAGGTTAGCAATTGAAACCTACCAGCCACTCCGCTGAAGGAAGACTGGGCAATCTACTTCTGTAAAGATTTACCACCTTGGAAGTCCAAAGGGGGTCACTATGAGTCGGAATCAACTTGATGACATCGAGTTTGGTTTGGGTTTTTAATAGTATCCTACACACACTGTTCGGAAACTTGATTTTAAATTAAAATTTTAACCTTAAGAGTGCACCTTAAAGGTCATTCTCTGTAGTATAGTACAGTATCATAATGTATTTACCTGTCCCCTACTGATGGTCATCTAGGTTGCTTTCACTATTTTTCCATAATAAGCAATTCTGCCAAAAATATCCTACTATAATCATCCCTAGGTATAAGTAATAGTATACCTACAAAACAATATGTATAAATGGAATTAATGCGTCTGAGTGAGTATTTTCAATTTAATGCATATTGCCAGGTTGCCTTCAAAGAAATGATACATATTTATATCACTAGCAATATGAGTTTGAGTGTTTTCCCATAATTCTGACAAATCTAATTCTTTAAGGCTGCAATACATAATCTCAAAATGGATTCTGTACTAGAGGAAAAATATAAAAGATATTATTGGGATAAGTTGCAAAACTGGAGTAGAAACAGCATAGTAGTATTATATCCATGTTTAACTGCTTAAACTTATTAATTGTGGTTACATTAAAAAAAAAAGATCCTTATTTTTTTTAAAATTATACACTGAAGCATTAGGGGTAAAAGGGCTATGACGTATGCAACCCACACTCAAATGGAAAAAAATTTAAATGTTTAGATACAGAACACAAAAATTAAAGCAAATGTGATATAAATGTGTAAGAGATGCATTTCTTCGTATTCTTGCAACTTTTAAGCTTGAAATTATTTCAAAATAACACTTAAAAAAATAAAGAATAAACTATGTTCAACAAAAGATAGCATTAAGAGGAGGAAAAAAGCAAGTCACAGAGTGTGAGCAGGTACTTGCAACATACATAACTGATAGACAACCTATATTCAGCACATACAAAGAACTCCCAAAAAACAGTTAACAAAAACCAGAAAATCCCAGTTTTTTAAATGAGCAAAAGAGTTGAATAGGCATGCCACTGAATAAACACAAAAGGTCCTCAACATCACTAGTCGTGGAAGCGTAATTTAAAACCATAATGAAAACTGCATACCAGAGTTCAGCACAGAACTTTTCACAATATTTAAAGGTGGAAACAACCAAAATAGCAACAGATGAATGGATAAACAAATGTATACATATACAATAGAATCCATTCAGCTATAAAGAGAAATCAAGTCTTGATGCATGCCACAACATGGATGAACCTTGAAAATATGCTGAGTGAAGTCAAGTCAAAAGGACAAATACTATATGATCTCACTTATATAAAACATGCAAATATAAAGAAACCAAAGACTATTAGTGGTTACTCGGGGAGAGAGGAGGAAAGAGAGAGATTTTGCTTACGAGGCATTGAGTTTATGTTAGTTATGGCGGAAAACCTAGGAAAAGTATAGCAAGAATGGTTATAGAACGTGAAGAATGTAATCACCATCGGTGAATTATACATGTAAAAACTGTTGAATTTGCATGTTTGGTTGTGTATATTTTAACAATTAAAGAAGAACACAATGAAATCATACCGCACACAAACTGACATGATTAAAATAAGATAAATATAAGTGCTGACAAGGAAGTATAGAAGAAGTGAAATTCTTACACACTGGTGGTAGAAGTGTACATTGCTGCAGCCTCTTTAACAAAGAGTCAGCCGCAGGGATGCAGGTGAGGAGAGACAACTCAGGGATGCCCGAAGTAGCAAGCGGGAAGAGCAGGAGAAAGGGGATTAAAAGCCAGGAAGCCAGAGAGAA